CCAGGAATGAAATAAAAATAAAATGAAACGGATTATGTTATGCATAAAACAGTGATAAGGATATCCATTCCCTGATATGTGAGTTTGCGGACAATATGAAATAATATTTATAACACGGCTATTTGCCAGGTAGTATGGGATGGTAGGGCCTGCGAAATTCGTTCGTTTCTTTCCTGTATCAAACGCCAAGTGTTGGTCATTATTGATCGACATTATTTATAGGACATAACTCTTGTAGACTTGTTTTAAAGGACTTGTTATGCACACATCAGCACATGCACATGTATGTGCAAAACCGACTGTTACAATGCATATTCTTCTTTTCCAACAAAGTTCGTATCTACCTGTCAAGCACTACACAAGTTATTCATTGCTGTCAACATATAAATTTTAAAATATTCTCTTTGGTACATTGAGGAAATTCATCTTATACAACGTGAAGTGCATCGTGTGATTGTTTTATTGTATCAACTTCAGCAGATGCTTGAATACAATATGAAGATTACCAAGTGTGCATGAAGATTACCAAGTTACCTGAAACTGAATATAAGCATGGCAGTCAAATTACAACCCTGCCGGTTATAGGCGTTCATGTGTTTCATATGACTGACATTTGTCCATAGTTCTCCCTTCCACTATGCATCCTTGTCGACTCGTGTGTGTGCGCATATCAGGAGCTTCTTGATGAAGTCAGTGTTGAAGTCGCCATGGACAGCCAGATCAGCAGTGACATTCATGGCCTACTTGGTGAAGTCGGTGTTGGAGTCACCATGGACAGCCAGATCAGCAGTGACATTCAGGGGCTTCTTGGTGAAGTCGGTGTTGAAGTCGCCATGGACAGCCAGATCAGCAGTGACATTCAGGGGCTTCTTGGTGAAGTCGGTGTTGGAGTCGCCATGGACAGCCAGATCAGCAGTGACATTCAGGGGCTTCTTGGTGAAGTCGGTGTTGGAGTCGCCATGGACAGCCAGATCAGCAGTGACATTCAGGGGCTTCTTGGTGAAGTCGTGTTGGAGTCGCCATGGACAGCCAGATCAGCAGTGATGGGGCTCTTGGTGAAGTTGTTGGATCAGTGGACGCCAGATCTCTGCAGGTTTCCCATCAGTGTACGAATCTCTTCCTGTGAAGACACTTATCTGCAAGGCTGTTCCATTCAAGTCCAGTGAATGAATTTTTTAAACTAATATTTGTTTCCCCTGGGTTATACAGATTAGAAAAATAGTCCAACTGCCTCTTTCTTTAAAATAAAATTTATATTGGTATATTCCATCATTATCCATTAAACTATGAAGAACCAGAGTCAATATACGTCAAACGTTACATTTGTGTGAAGTCCCATAAAAAGCAAAGCTACGGGAGGTAACATTACAACTGTGACACCATAATAAAAAATGACGTCGCCTCTCTTTCTACTAGCTCCTTAGCATGTGATGTCATATCATCGATTTTTCAGCTGTAGTTGAAACCAAAATGCGTTCGACTTGGTGTTTTGAGTATATGACCAAACTCACCCATTGCTTTAAGCCACTATAGACGACAAGAGAATGAAAAGACTGACAGAAGCTCAACAACACAACGCCATCGGCCGTTTCAAAGGACGGGCATCGCAGCATGAGGTAGCAAGGCACTTCAGCGTGTCCAGACAGACCATCGCAAACCTATGGACCCGATACAACGATACTGCGAGTGTTAATGACAAACGCAGGTCAGGTCGACCAAGAGTTACCTGCGCCGCCCAGGATCGCTACATCCGGTTGAGACATCTCCGTTCAAACACCACGGCCGCATCATCCACAACAATCCAAATCCTTGGACTGCACCGAATCTCCGACCAGACAGTGCGCAATTGGCTATGGGAAGCCAGACCTTTTGCCAGAAGACCAGTTCAGCGTCAGTACCATCATCATGATATCATGAGTAACGTCCCTAGCGATAACATCAACTAAATCAACGGGCACGACAATTAATCCCATCCCTAAGTCGCCTGTTACGACGTGTACTGGCTGCCGGGGACCTGTTCTATTCCGTTGACATTATTACCGTTCATAGACACACATACGTATAATGCACGTCAGATAGCTCTCATAGATAGGCTTATGACACCCAAATGTGACGCAAAAACATCTAAGGCATGATGTATATAAAAGTGAGTGAGTGAGTGAATTTAGTTTTACGCCGCATTTAACAATATTCCAGCAATATAATGGCGGGGATCACCAGAATTGGCTTCACACATTGTACCCATGTGGAGAATCGAACCCGGGCCTTCAGCGTGAAGAACGAACGCTTTAACCACTAAGCTACCCCACCACCTGATGTATATAAGATCATTGATATCTTATATGCGTCCACGACCAACAGCAAGAGTATGATGAAACTCTCCTTGGGCAAATAAGCGAATTTACTTTTCTTGTTAGCCTAAAATACTCACGGAAGGTCGTTTTTCAAATTGATGCGAACGTCGCTCTGTGCTATAATCAAGAAGTTGTTTCTGTTATTACTGTTGTTGTATGCTTTGTTAAATACTCGACTGATGTAATGAAATGTAGTACAAAAAAGTACATGGAGTATGAGGGATTTTCCGTCTGGAAAACGCAACAAAACTACATTTTACTGGGATAATGTACGGTACATCGCAGTTTATTCTGTAAATCATATCACCATCAACATCGTCAGCAGCACCAACTACATACTATCATGGACATGTCTTCCTTAATAACTGAGTAACTGATTTACATTTGCACAATAAATAAACAAACATCAATGCCTAATCACGTATTCTAATGGCTCGTCAGCGCATACTCAAGGTACGTCCCAAACCAATACTCTCAGTGTTTGGACTGTAACTATGGATACCGATTCATCTCACAACGTATTCTATCATCTCACAACGTATTGTAATCGCTCGTCAGCGCATACTCAAGGTACATCCCAAACCAATACTCTCAGTGTTTGAGACTGTAACTATGGATACCGATTCATCTCACATTCTAATGTCTCGACAGCACAACATACAGACAAAGCACAGCGTCCTGATCTCCATTTCAGTAGCAGCAGCCACTGATGACATGGACCATAAGCATTAGTCCAGTTCATCTTTCATGGACACATTGGTCAGCATCATACATATATGATAATAAATATTACTGTATGTAATAGTAAACACCTAATTTGTCGCAAACATATTTTGTCATCTGTTCAAAAGACAAAAGAAAGTTTATCATCCTCGCCACTGAAACATGGGATAAGTCATGTGACTATTAACCTTCTAGCGCCTCACGGGCTGCTTGGGTAATAATAATAATAATCAGATTGTGTCTTAGCGCTTTGATCATGTGCCTTCTACATGGAAATGGCGCATTATTAATTCACATTTCAGCGCATATAAAGTGTCCGAATAGGTGCCCATTGATGAATACCTTTACAGAATATCTTAACTGGTCTAACCAGTTTCGTACTGAAGACGGACCTAAATGGGGTTTTTCCACTATATAAGCCATATTATGTATACAAATGGAACCTTTGTCAACGTGTGTTACCCTATCAACTTCTTTCTGCAACAATAAACCCATGCCTAACTACTAGGAGGGCGGTTGTTCACCCTCCGTTGCATATTTGTGAGTCTGTCGGGTGGCAAACTGGTAGGTGTTCGTTCTCAACAATATCTGTATTTGTCATTTAAAATACATTATCCCATATGTTTTTGCTTATTGCTAGTTGTTTTACTTCGACTTTAAGAATAGATAAAAAGAACACATTTGGCTACATATTGTTTAGGACAGCTTTGAAGGATGTTACTCCATTTTGACCTGGTTCAGGGGTGGGTTGCATCAACTTTACGTTAGAGTCGCGCTAGGCGCGTAAAACGTTATAGGAAACAAAGTCTCGTTTACCGACGTTATAGTATTTACGATTCTGAAAATAACTAAATATGATACTTTGTTTCACGGTAAATAGCGCACACTATAGAGAATGAATTAGACCTCGCTTTGAGCAGAGCGCAATTTATAACCATCCACAACATCAACATCGTCGACAGCACCAACTTCAACCAAATCATGACCATTATCAACACATTTTCATTAACATGTGGCATTTTAGAGAAGGGACAAACAATATTGACAAACTGTGTGGATAACAACTTCTTTTCGATAAAGATTCTAATGAAAAATATCGATTAAAACACAAAGGAATGTTTTTAACGTCGTCACTGCAAGCACAAAGAACACATATAACGCTTTCGACAAGCACATAGACGAATACCTTCACTGAATGCGTTGGTTATTGTTTAGAATTACAAATGCACATCGACGGGCGGTAACTGATCTAACCACTTTGTCATTAAAGACCGCTGTGAATGTAATGCTTTTTATTTCAGAAGTTAGATAATGCGTGAAAGTAGAATCTGTGTCACTGTGTTACCCTATTAACTTATTTCTGCAACAAAAGACAAAGGCGGTAATACAAGGAGGGAAGTCGTACACTCACTGTGTTGAATATTTGTGTGTCACCGTGGGCTGACACATTTCTGTGGGACTTGTTGACATTTGTACACGCCTATCGAGTACCTTCAAAGATGTTCTGTAGGGTTCAGATTAGTTGATATGGAAGGCTATGACAGGTCACTGATGTATGAATTATGATGAAAGTCAACTGTGACACGACCTGTGTGTAGTGTAGCGTTGTCATGTTGCAAAATGTTCAGTTGATAATCGCTCAATTTCCTAATTGGCTGATCATAAACTGGACGGTGCTTGTGTTTCATTACTGCACTCGTTTCGTACGGTTGTCAGAATTTGTGAGTATATAATTAGATACACAATTCAATACACAGTTCTTAGAACTATCTTCATTTTGTATTTATCTTTCAAAATATATCTCATAATCACAATTTTGAGGTTTACATCGAATTGCATCTGTTGGATGTCAGTGGGCGATTATGTATTTCTGAGATCGTCTTTTACAGCAGATATTTCTACACAGTATTGCTGTTGTGAAAGATGACATCAAATGGCAACTTCCTGGAGCGGCGTGTTGGCCTATGTCGAATGATAGATGTTCTGATGACTTCCATCATTGTGGTTTCATCGCTCATTATAGCCATTCTCATAGCCACAGGTATGTCTACCCATGCTGTGAAAATGGTGCATATTATAAGAAATTCCTTTAAATTATCTGTCTTTACCTTTTATGTGTACATTCTCGCATACCAATCAACACAAACAGCCACACATTCATTTCGACTTATTATTACATGTCCATTGTCACCCGTCACGCTTTGATTTAATTCATGCAACGTGGCCATTCGAAAAATAATATTATCTGCATTATACAATGACTGACGCGCAACCATACATGCTATATATGTCATATACTTAGCCTGCTGTATACCATACACTTAAATACTATGTTTTAGTTGCTGACCTAAACCGAATCAGGAATAATATATGACAGGAAAACAACTTATAATAATTTACTCCTCAAAAGTCAAATATACACTTCTTAATTTATGATGGTCACCATCGTCCAAACAAAATATATTTGCTTCTGCATTTAAGCTCCAGGTACATCTGACGCCGACTGCCTCGACATCGCCGTGATTGGCGGCGGCATCGGGGGCGCCTACACAGGCTGGAGGCTGAGGGACAGAGACCTATCTATCTCTGTGTTCGAGTACTCCGACCGAGTCGGTGGGAGACTCTTCACAACTGACTTCCCTGCAGCTCCAGGGACGTACCTTGACTTCGGAGGGATGAGGTTCAGGGCCAATGCTCACCCTACTTTAAACAGAACGGCAACCGAAATTGGGCTCAAGATCGTAACGTTTGCATTGGGATATGGAAATGCAGATGAGACAATCTGGTACACTCGAGGCAAGCACATGCGCAACACCGACCTTGGAACAAGTCGCACCCCTTACAGTCTTGCCTTACAGGAAATGAAGACACCGGGCGCGTTGATATGGTAGTCGTGTCTTTGTAAAGATTTATACATTGTATTGATATGAGTCGTTCGTCTGAACCTGACAAGTAATCTTACTGAATCACATCCTACTGAACCAACTAAGCCCTCATGGGTTTACAGAGTACTCATATCCCATGTTTGTGCATCTCAGTGCTGATTTCGTTTGTATAAACTATGACCACTGATCGATTCTTACTTTCCTCCATACTGTATATACCATTCACACGTGCTCTTATTTCTTGGTACCCGTGAAGATCCGGGTTAGAATTGGCCTTCCACCATAAAGGGATAAATATTTCTATATCAAAACAGTAAAGGACCTTTTAAATAAAGTTCATTATCATTTAATCATTGATTTTTTTGAAAGAGATAGATTTGTTAAATGAATTTTGATATATGTTTTGTAAATAGATAAAGTTTTATAATTGGTAGTTCAGATGATCAACTTAGATTGTTAGTGGCTGTATCATCAAAAGGGGTTGAAGTAGCGTAAAAATTATTGTCCTCCTGAGAGGGTACGTAAGTCCCAAAACTTTCAAAGTCAATTCAAACTTATCAGGATTTTTAAACGTAGTATTCTTGTTATTTTACTTTTGGCTAACATTTCTTACAATCGCCAACAGCTGAAAGGATGGTGTAAATCCAACCAGGGTCCATGCAGGTAGCAAAGGAACTGTAAGTCCCCATGGTCCCTAGTATGGTGATCTACTTTCAGGTGTTGGCGATCTATAGCCTGTTTTTATATTGTATTGTCCAAATAGTGCTATGAGTTTTAACTTTTCACGCTAGTTTTAACTCTTATTGTGATATTCTAGTTGTTTTACTGTCCTGCGACGACAGGTTTATATAATATACACGTTTCATTTCAAATATGTTCTCGTCACGATATGGCTGAAATATTGCCGATGTGACGTTAAATCTTAACTCACTCACTCACTCACTCACTAGAATTGGTCTTCTGCAACCCGAGCTTGTCGTAAGGGGCGACTAATTGGATCGGGTGGTCAGGTTCGGTGACTTGGTTGACACATCTCATCATATCCCAATCGCGTAGATCGATGTTCATGCTGTTGATCACTGGGTGGTTTAGACTCGATTATTTACACACCGCCGCCAAGTAGATGAAATACTGCTGAGTGCGGCGTTAAGCAACAACCACACAAACCACATCTTAATTCTTAAGAGGTAAGTATACTGTACACGTGCTGAATGTATCTGGAATATTGTTTCTTTATAATACGCCTCTCAAGGAGCCTCTTCAAGAACAACGTCAACTACAGCAAAAACACATACCCCAGTCTAGACGAACTGTATAATATGACGACCGTCGACGGTACCCCGCTCTACAAAATGACGTTAGTGCAGCTATGCAACTCCTTCCTTTTTCTGTAATTTAGATTATTATATTCATTAATTGTTTTCATTATCATTGTTAAATATAATATTAGTCCTACCAATGCTTCACATCGACTATACAGTTTTACATAACAAAATGAAAAATAAACTCACGAAATAAACTAACTCCACCTCTACGGATGTCCTGTCGTACATGACATTTAAATGTATATGAGGTTGGCGTATCACATGTCACACATAAGCGTCATGTCTACCTTTCAAATTATATCTCTCACCCAGTTTAGATAACTTTTACGGGCGCTTCGCAAGTCGGGAGGCTTACAAGTACATCTATGACTTGGAGGGATGGGCCGGCACTGTCGGTCGTCAAGGAGCTCTCCACAGTCCAAAGGCTACCGCTTCATACCCTGGTGACACCGGTCCATCTGAAGAATTCAAAACAATAGATGGTGGTATGGGGAAGGTGCCCCAGGCTCTCATGGAAAAATTCTTGAATGCAAGTACGAGGTGGGTTTGTTTGTCTTAAGATTTTCATAATTCTCATATTATTATAAGATGATGTCTGGAGAGAATGGCTTGCTGAGAGCAGTATCAGATGTTGTCATTGTTTACCTGATATACTGCATCTATGATAGTGCGAATATATGTATTCCTGCATATAATCTTTGAATAAAAATGTCGCCCTATTGGGCTATTTATGGTACCTTTGACCCAGCACTACAAACAATGATTAAAAAGTGCTTCTTTATTTCCCAATTTCATCATTTTCATACTCTCGTTATCTCCACAGCCACAAGCTCCATCTGAACCACCAGCTGCTGAAGATAGAGAGGAGGCAGTCTGGAGGGTACAACCTCAGATTCAGAAAGACTCACACAACAGATGGAATAACGACTCAGAAACAAGTGCGTTGATTTGGTATTTGTTATATTTTGTTCAGACCACTTGTCTGTGGATAAAGACACATCGGCCTTCCAGTGACTCACTCTCATTCACTCCACCCAGTACCCGATCGAGGAGGGTTCGTGGTTTGAAGTTTTCGTCTTGATGTTACACAGCAATAGCCTTTAGGCCGTATATAAAGTAGGCATGAACTTGTCATGATGTGATCGCAAACATAAACATGTTTGTGAATACGATTCACTCTAAAATGATATTCTTACAAGACGCCGACCTGTACCTGGCCAAGCAGGGCATTTACTTTGAAATATTCCTCAAGATGGTACTCAGCGACAGTCTGTATAAAGTCGGTTATTGAGTAGTCATAAGTTGAATACATAAATATACGGTACTTGAATGCAAATTGCATTGCCTCATATGTAACATATTTTACAGGATAGTCGTAACTGAAACAGTCACCGTGATTATTCTTGTCGGGCAAACTTAAGGTCAGGTTATGGCACGATAAATGACCACACACTCAAGATGTATCGGGTATCCTCTATTCCAGTTCAGTACAGACGTGACAGTGTGTGCCAGAAAGGTTGTGTTGGCGGCCCAACAGAGATGCATACAGGAGATTGACATCCCAATGTTCAAGAGCAATCCCGACATTGTAAAGAATCTAGACTCTGTTGTTGGAATCCCTGCTGGCAGAATATATCTTGCCTACAACACCAAATGGTGGAAGAACGGCAACCCTGACATCACCCACACGAAGAGTGACCAGCTCAACAGACAGACCTATGACTGGTCTACCGGCACAAACAACGTCTCCATCATCATGGCGTCCTATCACGACGGGGACTTGGCCCACTACTGGCGAGAGTTGAGTCAGTTCGGGACGCCAATCCCTGGCAGTCTCCCCGGAGTGAATGCCGTCACGGACGTCGTCAAGAACAGAGCTGAGAAGTTCTTAAGCGCCATCTACAACGTCAGCCAATCTGATATCCCCGAAGCTGTTGGAGGCGCAATGATGATGTGGGACAAATATCCTTTCTATGCTGCTTGGGATTACTTCAAACCAGGCTTTGACGAAAGAACGGTTCGTGACCTGGTGTATAAACCATCTGTATCGGATCATATATACATTGCTAGTAATTCTTGGGCACCTCGGAATCTTCAAGAATGGTGTGAGGGAACACTGATAGCTGTTGATGCTGTAATCAATAGATATTTCAAGGACAGTAACTAGCATAAAAATGTATATGAACTTCTACAATGCTTAAACAATACATATCTATTATTTGAAGGAAGAAAATCATTTCTCGCCAGTATGTATGAATGTATTATTCTACAATATTGTTGCTCTAAAGTTAACCGGTATATACATCAGTTATCAAGAATAATGCGTATGCGATGTGTATATTATTCGCTTACCATTCCGTGTTTATTACTCTTTTATATACTGCATAATGTCTTTTAGAAATATATACAGCATTTGAGTTTAAGTCATTTGATCATGTAACTTTGACAAAATAATTCGTAAATATATATATCATGTGTGATATGATTCTAATACATGTATCATATGATCTTGAACAGCAGGCGATTATAATCAACTGGCGGAAAACAGAATCCCACCATGGTAACATTATGAAATATTTATAATAAAATCTAAATGTTCCTTTGAATTCCTTCAAGGGAATAATGTCAGTTAACGAGTAATCCTTGTCAAAGGCAGTCGTGATATTAGGACTGTTGATAGATCAACACAGAATGTTTGGTAATTTAACCAACAGTTTTAAAATTTAATGTAATGTTTAACGACCAAATAGGCTGCTTCACACCTCTAACGCGATGGCGATGTGAAGCATGTACTTGTTACATGTATTACTGGTTCATTTGATTAATGATGCCTGATTGGCCAAAACAGCTGAAACGCTACTACGAATGCTAAAGCTTGAAAATTATCGCTGTAAAGGATTGAATTCAGATTATACACGCAGTTGCTAATAGGTGTCTCAAAGTTCTATAAGCTTTGCCCTAGCTAAAACGTTAACATACTTTCCTTACTGGCATGGGTGAATTCCGGGTTAGCGAGCGAATTGCCTTCGTGTCATTTGTAACTACATAGCAAGACCAATCCTTGCAACAACATCCAAGGCCACTAGTGACCGTAACCGGTTCTTTGCTTAGCATCTGATATGGGTTCTTAGGTGTTTGTTTCAAGGTGTTTCAAGGGTATTGTTCCTTAAATTACACACAATCACTGAATTCGTGGAAGAGAATGTCAGTTTTGATAACATTTACAAAACGTAACAGCATACCTATATATACTCTCTGGATACTCCATATGGGGAGAACGAACTTGATAAACATATTTCCAGTGTTAAGGTTTTGTTTGCTTGGTTAAGATGCTGACTATTTAATGCTTCATTTCTCGCTGAAGGAAATGAAAAACAATAATGATCCCACACCTTTCTAGGATATGGGCTTATGTTATCTGTCTGATTTGTTTCAACGTAATCTCGGAGTCTCAGTCTCCAAGGTATGTACATCTAACAAAAATATATAAAGTATGAATATATCATTCTTAATGATAATGAGGCCTGGAACATTGGTTGGTATCGTCCTGGTTCAACAGCGATACAATGGAATGCTCATGACACTGGTGTAGTGACGTGTGAGTGTTTGTGTGTGAGTGTGTGTGAGTGTATGTGTGTGAGTGTGTGTGAGTGTATGTGTGTGTGTGTTATGTGGACGTACATACGACAAGCACGATAGGGAGGCAGTTGACTTTGCATATTTGAGAATACGTCCAATCAGTGTTCTGCTATGTACCTGGAAGCTGCTGGAGTCGTTGCATAGCTGTCATTTAGCTTTGAAGAGCCAATGCACTGTCCGAAAACTTCATACTTCGTTTTGAATCGTGCATTTTTCAAAAAGTGAGAAACGTAATTGTGGGACATTGGTCTAAAGCCACGTGCATAATTGTAGCATAAATACCTATGTTGGAAACAGCAAGCAGGCGGTAACCAAAAATCCACTACTAATGTGCCAAAACGTACACAAGCGTAACGAGACAGGGGGATCGGTATGGCCAAGATAGGGGTTTCACAACGTCAGCTGGCAAGAACCTTCAACTGCAGCCAGGCCATCATCAGTAAATTGATAAACCGCTACCAGCAAACAGGCCAGTTCCAAGACCGCCACAATCGAAACGTAACACATGTGTGACTCTTTGAGGGTTTGCTAACAAACCGTGATGTTTTGTAGTTCAGCTTGTCGTATCAGTATCATAAGACCAGGCTCTGAATGAGAACAGCAAACGATTAAACGATAAAGCCAACTGTATTTGTTTTAATGTTGAAGTCACTATCCAATCCATGACGATATTACATGGTTCAATGTCCTTAGATGAAGAATGTCTCGATGTCGCCGTGATTGGCATATAAATCAGCTTATCTGATATATTCATGAAAGCTTGCATTATGCAAAAACAATTTGTTTACATATTTCCTGTTCGATTATGCAAAGATGTGTTTGTTAAGCTTTTACATACACACCTGTGTTATATCTTGAAACGTTGACAGTGTTAGAATGATATGCCTGTTTGAAACTACTTTTGTGTTTCCAGGCATGTATATAAACAACTTAACAAACAATTTTGTGCATAATCGAACATGAACCTGTCCCTAGCAATGCAAACAAAGAGATTGTCCTTTCAGCTGTGACATGCCTTTAGAACAACCTGATTACCTACATTCCATGACACCTATATACGTAGCTGTCTGTAGACATTTATAGATGTGTTTAGTTTCTTGAAAAATACTTCCAGTTCTAACTCTTTCAAATGTAACTTTGTACATCCAGTTGACATAAAATTATTTCGTCCTCTCTACAGAACAGTTATGTATATGGTACTTACATAGCCCGGTGATTTGCTATAAAATTGTCCTTTCAGCGGTGATAGACCTCAAGAACAATCTCATTACAAATGTGTGCCAGAAATGCATTTTCATCATGTCATGGATGCACAAAATATACGGGTGCTGCTTACGTTTCAACATTTTGTTGTTCGATCACGTTTCCAATATCTAGTAGAGCTATCATACAATATTATGAGGGACATGGTCAGGACATTTCCAAATTTGACGCATCGGGGCGGGATACACTCAACTTTTCGTGTTTTTCAACAAATGTTTTACATGGTTTGTAATGTAAGCGAGATCTAAATATCTACATTTCAAATGTCAACAAACACGGAGATATATTTCATCACACTACCGAAACGTAACACAATATAGTATTTGGGCGAGCACACTGCTATTAACATATATAGGATAAAGTGACACTTGATTTGAATTCTCATCCACCCATACTGAAGCATGTTGTGGTGGCTTTAACACGAGAATAAGCTACCAAGCTGACATCATGTCATGTTACATGCTACACGAGACTATTTATACGGTGGTGCTTTGCACACAATAGCCTACTTGTTGGCGCACCTTCCTCTCAAGACTTGACATACACTCTCTGCTAGTCATCGCTGGGAGATACAGGTAAGTTTTTATATTGCAGGTATTTTCACGGTTTCGTTTTCGTTCAATGTGCAGGTTTGTCTTAAAATGCGTAATTGTCTTGCAGTATTCTAAAATCATATTAATGATATTTTTGCATTGATGAAGAGTTATTTATTTCTGTATTTGCAATAATGTGTATTTTCACATTTCACTTTGGAAGATAATATGTTCAACTTACACTTTAAAGTAAACAGACATCAGCTCATTAAACCCGGCATGATAGTAAGAAGTATATATAAACTACTTACTTTGGTACCAGATCCGTAAACCTCTGTACCACAGACGCCTGGTTGTGCATTCAGATAGTTAAGTGAGTGAGTTTAGTTTTACGCCGCACTTAGCAACATTCCAGCTCTATGGCGGCGGTGTGTAAATAATCGAGTCTGGACCCGACAATCCAGTGATTAACAGCATGAGCATCGATCTACGCAACTGGGAACCGATGACATGTCTCAACCAAGTCAGCGAGCCTCACCACACGATCCTGTTAGTCGCCTCTTACGACAACCATTGGTTACTGAAGATCAATTCTAACCCAGATCATCACGGGTAGATATTTAAGATTATGAAATTGCACTACGGGTTCCATCCTCCGTCCAGGCAAGATAAAGGAACAATGAGAGTAAAAGACTGCGTGAAGGGCACGCGCGAACCAATTGTTTTTAGGCGGTTTTGGTAAGACAACGATGTAGAACTAAAACTGAGCTGATTGGATATTTGGATAGGGATTTAAATATTAGCCTTCTAAATGAAACAAACCCAATAACTATATCACATATTGACACTAAGACTAAAATAGCTCATTCAGCATCCTTATAGATGAGAATCACATTTAAGAAGGCTTGAAAAAAATAACTCCATTTGGAGTTGCACAATGATGTGTACTTGGCCCGTAGCTGTTCTTGTCTTATGTAAATGATTTAGTTTATAAAATACATAGTGATGTCAGACTTCATGCTGACGATAGATCCTTGTATATTACTGTTGAAAACCAAGTCAACAGATCTTGAGCGTTAAGGCGCCGTAGGGTAGCCTAGTAGCAAAAGCGTTGGCTCGTCACGCCGAAGATCCTGGTTCGATTTCCCACATTTGTACAATGTGTAAAACCCATTTCTGGTGTCCCCCTCCATGATATTGTTGGAATATTGCTAAAACCTTACTCACTCACGCTTGAGCGTTAAACATTGATCTGATAGAAATGAACAGCTTGACGGAAACGTTACAAGTAACGTTTAACACAGAGAAAACAGAAAGTATCTCATTCTCCAGCTACTTCTTCGTTTGTTGAAGCTATGATAAAACAAGAAACAATTCCTTTCATAGAAAGATTAATAATAGTCTTCTGATGTGAAAGTATATCATCTGAATTATAATTAAATCCAGGAATTGTGTCACTTACAGGACAAGGCGTGTGTTCAGCATTTGTGTTAGATGGCATCAAAAGAACGCTTCCTCGAGCGACGTGTCGGCTCATGCCGGATGATAGATATCCTCATGGCAATGACACTTGGGGTAACAACGATTATTGCAGTCATACTGATTGCCACAGGTATGTAGTCACATGGTCACCAGTCATACTGATTGCCTCAGGTATGTAGTCACCTGCTCACAAGTCATACTGACTGCCACAGGTATGTAGTCACCTGATAGGCAGTCACATTAATAGCCTCAGGTATGGCGTCACCTGATCGGCAGTCATATTAATTGCCTCGGGTATGTATCCGCATGATCGGCAGTCATACTCATTGTCTCAGGTATGAAGTCACCTGATTGGCAGACACATTAACAGCTTCAGATATGTCGTAACCTGGTCGGCAGTCACATTAATAACCCCAGGTATGACGACACCTGATGAGTAATCATACTGACAGCATCACATAGGTCGTCACATGATTGTACTTAAAGCCCTCTCGTAGTTATTGATATGTAAAGGTTCTTCTGATTAATGGCATTAATACATCTCAAAGTACTGACGACTTTAACACTGTCGACCTGCAGTTAAATTGTAACCAACCATTCAGTGTATTATACACATTTTGTCGACTTTAGCACCACCAGTACAGGTAAGTATGAAATATAGTTTCTTCCTTCCTACGTTTCGATTTTAATGTACTGACGGCTGATGTGACGTTAAATTGTAACACGTTGTTACGATGTTACCGCCACCATAATAGGCTAGTATTAAAACGATTTTCTTCTTTCTTACATTTCGATTTGAAATGAATTAAGATTCGAAATTTCTCTACATCCCTGTCAAGGAAAATATAAATAATTTCACGTTCATTTTTATATGTAATTTCAGTAACTACGTCTGCTGCAACAACACCCAAAGAAACTTACACAGGTAATGTTTCCTCTATATGCATGTTTGTAACGTATTTTTCCTACATAAAGAATTACTACGAGGCACTGACACACTCAATCGAAATGTAACATGTGTGACTCATTGGGGTTTGCCAACAAACAGACACGTTATCATGTCGTATCAGTATCAGAGGAATCGGCACTAGATGAAACCATAAGAACGCCTTACTGTAATAATCAAACTTCACACTAGCTGTATTTGTTTTAATGTTTAAGTCACTAACCAATCCATGACGAAATCATGTGCTTCAATATCTTCAGCTCCAACATCATCTGACGACTGTCTCGACGTGGCTGTGATTGGCGGTGGCATCGGGGGCGCCTACACAGGCTGGAGACTGAGGGACAGAGGCCTCTCTATCTCTGTGTTCGAGTACTCCGACCGAGTCGGGGGCAGACTGTTCAGTACCGAACTGCCTGTTGCACCAGGGACGTACCTTGACTTCGGAGGGATGAGACTAAAGAAGAGAGGCCACCCTATCTTAACCAGAACAGCGACAGAGATAGGTCTCAGAATTATTCCCTTTCCCCTCAGATATGGGATTCCAGATGAGACGATCTGGTACGCTCGTGGCAAGCACATGCGCAATACTGACTTCGGAACAAGTCGCATGCCCTATGACCTTCCCCCAAATGAAATGAAGGTTCCTGATGTATTGAAATGGTAAGACATTCAGTATTTAGAAAGGGGACAGTAATAATCGTTAATGGAATGAAATATTTGTCAATATAAAGCTATGATATCTTGAAATATTCGAAGTTATTCATTCTGATATAAATTTCTATTTTGAAGGCAATCAACTGAGGATAACTAACAGTTTGTGTTAGTTGAAGAGAATATCCATTGATATCATGTTATTATGCCTCTGTCGTTACAGGAACATCTTTAACAAGAACCTCATCTTTCTGGACAACTCAACCATGTACCCCACTCAAGATGATGTGTTGAAGATGAGAACCGTGGATGGAACTCTGCTGTACAAAATGTCGTAAGTACACATATATCCTACAGACTACGACTTAACGATGAAGCTCGGTGGTTGGTTCATTGCGCCTCATCACACCAGAGGGCTTGGGTCATTTTTCTAATCACTGGATCGTGGGGTCCAGGGTTGATTATTTACACGCCGTCGTCAGATAGCTGCAATGTTGCAGAATGCAATGCGAAACAACAAGGTACCACGTACACATTATACCCTTGAAATACCAATTTCTCAAACTATTATTCCAAACAAAATATAGTTACAGTTACGTCTCTATAAACACTTTTCTAAAAAGGAAACGCATAAGCCATTTAGAAGAATTTATTGCGTTAGTTTACGAGCAATTATTTCATGTACTTCAATGGTAAAAAGGTGAAAATTCACACGTCTATTTACCAAGAGAAACAAACACCAGCCTTATAGTTGTTTCTGTTTACTGGAGTCCACACGATGGCGTCAAAGTCGATACTTTGTATGGCCACAATTACTGCTCGGCACCGTCTTGGCACAGACTGGATAAGTTGACGAAGTCGCTCTTTCGGAATCGTTCCCCACTCTTCCTGCAATGCCATGGCCAGTAGTGGAAGTGGAGGTAAGTTTTGACGTTGACGAGTTCATCCCATAGGTTTCCTTTCCGGTTTAGATCTGGTGACCAGGAAGTCCATGGCAAGACCTTAACGTTAGAACTGGCAACGTAGCGGACCATGACGCGTACTGTAGGTGAAGTAGCGTTGTCATGCTGGAACAACTCCCTCTGTCGGTCCATAATCGGAAGCATGTGACGTCCAAGGACTTCGTTGATGTTCCGATTAACTGTCAAATTCTCCTGAACCACCACTCATTCAGATCTTTGTGTGCTGGATATCGCATGACACTGCCTCCACCGAATTTGTCGACCTGTCGATTGCAAGTAGGGGCAAAACGTTCATTTCTCCGACGGTAAACACGCTGTCTTCCATCTCGCCGGTGAAGAAGAAATCGTGATTCATCACTGAACCAGACTCGCCTCCAGCTTCTAACGACACGACCGCAATGGAAGTCTCTCAAAACAGGGGCGACAACTGGCCTTCTTGCTCGAATCCCCATTCACGCAATCGGTCGGAAAATCAAACCAGGGATGCGTTGTGCAGTCTCCACAGCTGTGGCAAGACGATGACGCAAGGGAGCAAGTTAGTAGTGCTGGGCTCAGGTGGTAATTCTTAGACGATTCGGGCGATTCTGGACGGAACTGGTCTGCAGGAAACGACCCCAAAGATGAGATATGGTGCTCTGATGAACGTTGAAATGTCGGGCAACTGTAGACTGCGACTTCCCAACTTCAAGGCGGCCTATGGCGATGTTTCGATTGGCGGCACTCAGTTGTGGCACTCAGTTCTATCACAACGTTTGTCTTTTTATAGTGATCAATATCGAATACTTTCGCGCTTTTTTTTGAAGAGTGTACTAGCCGCAGAAAGAAATTGTTCCTTTCTGAATTTGAAAATATAACAATGAAAAGTTTACATGGAAACTTTAATAGGTCCATATTGTGATCATCAGAAGATGGCAGCATGGCATGTTAATCAGTCAAAATGTGGGGCCGGGTTCAAGCTTCAAAGGGCGTACACTCCCTACCCAAAGCATCAGGCGATCCCATTCCTATTCCATGACACAAACCTGAGTATAAAGCTCTGTAAGATGTATGTATGTAGACAGGTTGACGTGCGTCACAAGGGGAAATGTTAAATCTGGACAGTCCCCTACCACAAACGTAGTTGGTAAGATTTCGCCACCACCTTTGGTTTCGCGATGATGTTGCGCCAAGATGGGTCGCATGTTGGGACGTGGTCGTATCCGTTAATGACGTAAACGGTTCCTGACTGTGTCGGGTGTAGTCTAGAATCTGGTGCCGGAGATATGTCACGCAAAGTAGAACGTATATTAGGGGTTCGAAAATCATCTGCACATTGAGCGACCCCAAGACAGTGAATTTTCATACAAGATCCGAAAACGTACTCACACATCTATGTTAAATTCACGTATTACTGCGTTTACACCTGTATTAGTCCCAATATCTCTTTTGATTTCCCATGTGCATATTATCTTCTTGTGGCTGGTATATATGTATATACACAGTCATTGTTTTAACTTTTACCCAAGGCTTGACAACGTTTATGGACGTTTCGCTAGTCGGGAGGCTTACAGATACATCTCTGAAACCAGTGGGTGGGCTGAAACTGTTGGCACACACGGAGCCCTCAACGGTCCAACAATCTCCTTGTCCTACCCTGTAGCAACAGGGCCACCCGATGAAGTAATGACAATAGATGGTGGAATGGGGAAGGTGCCATTGACTTTAATGGAGAACTTCCTGAATACAAGCACGAGGTAGGTTTGGCTTATTATTGTTTTGATGTTTGATGGGGGTTATGCTGTTGAACTCTCCATACATATCATACACTAATCATTTGAGAGCACGGGTATCCCAATCGTTTTAGGCTCTGCATCTTACCGAAGATACCAAACCATGTAATTGTAGATTCAAACCACCTCCATATCACTTTCTCTTCGTTTCAAAGCCACAAACTCCACCTGAACCACCAACTGCTGAAGATAGAGAAGAGACAAGCTGGGGGATACAACCTCAGATTCAGAAAGACTCAGACAACTGACGGAATCACAACTCCAATACAGGTTTGTTTTCTAATACATACCTGTTGTATATCATGACATTTTTCTGTATGACTAGGAGTTAACCATATTCATTGTTCATTCCAGTTGGGTAACAAGGAAGTGACCAGGTGCGCCAGGAAAGTAGTACTTGCTGTCCCTCAGAGATGTATACAAGAAATTGACTTCCCAGAGTTCCAGAACAACCTGGAGATTGTAAGGAACATGGGCTCCGTCGTTGGGTACCCTGCTGGCAGAATATATCTTGCCTACAACACCAAATGGTGGAAGAATGGCAACCGTGACATCACTCATACTAGGACTGATCTTCCCAACAGACAGACCTATGACTGGTCCACCGGCACCAACAACGTCTCCATCATCATGGCGTCCTACCACGACGGGGACTTGGCCCACTACTGGCGAGAGTTGAGTCAGTTCGGGACGCCAATCCCTGGAAGTCTCCCCGGAGTGAATGCCGTCACGGACGTCGTCAAGAACAGAGCTGAGAAGTACTTAAGCGCCATCTACAACGTCAGCCAATCTGATATCCCCGAAGCTGTTGGAGGCGCAATGATGTTGTGGGACAAATATCCTTTCTACGCTGCATGGACTGATTTCAAACCAGGCTTTGACGACAGAAAAGTTCGTGAGATGTTGTATAAACCATCCTCCTCCGATGATGTATACCTAGCCACTAATTCATGGGCACGTAGTGATCTTCAAGGTTGGTCTGAGGGATCGCTGTTGGCTGCAGATGTTGTTATCAGCAGATATTTCCAAGGTAGCAAATAGATAGGAGAATGACTTTCTCCTTTGTAGTGTACATCTGTAGGAAGTTATGACTGCACCTTAATTTATTGTAGGTATCTAAATGAATGAAGCGTAAAAGATATCCTTTGGTGGTGACTATATTGATAAGAATGAGTAGTTAGATGATGACGACTTTGATAGACTTATGATAAGCTCAATCAATAGAAACCATGTGCATCGATCTATCAGTATGTGTTAACTACCCCTTTGTCTATACTACAGAGTGTTTGTTTAAGAGAAACCATGTGCACCATGTGTTTTCTGTGAAAACCTCTTTGGTGAGACAACATTCAAAACAAATACCTTACATTTGATGGATTGACTAAAATTGTTCAGGCAATCACTCAAACTAGATCGTTTTAGTAATTTGACCAAATGACTGAAATTTTCAGTCATTTGGTCAAATGACTGGTTTTACAGATTGACTGTAACATATATACACAAGTGCAAATATATACACAGAAAGTATATCCAGGGAGGTTCTCACTAGCATACACGAAACAAATCATAAAATAATGTAATGTAGTCAATGGTCGGGTTGGGTAAACCATCCCTTGCCCTTGTTTCATTTCGAAAGATATGTGAATAAACATTACTCACCTTTACATTTTTGGTCGAATCAATGACAATTCAAATAATGGCAACATCTTCTTCACACTATGTGATCATATTTGAACCCTGTTTGATCGGCATTTTAGAACTTGATGGATAATAGAAAAGTGTAATACTTTATGGATAACAACTTCTTTATTTCTTATGATGCGACGTTTCGGTATAGCTTCTTATGCCGTTGTCAAGCAAGAAGCTTTACCTAAACGTCGCATCATAAGAAATAAAGAAGTTGTTATCCATAAAGTATTATACTTTTCATATTTGAACCCCACCTGTGCGTCAATCTCAGAGCCAGAAAATGATATAGCTACACCCTATTCGAAGTCTGCATCTGGAGCCATATTGAAAAATCTGATTCGTGAATCCGAGCAAGACAGGTATTTGAGATCGAATCAAAAGTTGGTTGGTTGATTGGTTGTTGTTGAGTAACACAACTGTCATCAGTATTCCGGCTATATGGCGGCCGTCCGAAAATCATCGAGACTGGACCAAACAATCCGGTGATCAACAGCATGAGCATCGATCTATGCAACTGGCATACCATGACATGTGTCAACCAAGTCAGCGAGCCTGACCACCCGATCAGGTAAGTCGCCTCTTACGACTAGCATGGGTTACTGAAGACCTATTCTAACCCGAACACTTAATTTAAGTTCTATTTACTAAGTGCCACTGCTAACTGTAGACGCCTCTGTTGTGGATGAGATCTGACGTTCAAGATAATTCAGTAAACATTCAGTGGGGTTGAGCAGGCCATGAATATCCTTGACAACCATTGCCGTCTAGCCCAATTCCGTTTGTAATTTTTTAGTCAAATTCTTAAATTCAAGTAGACATATTCTTTGGCCCAACTGTTCATTTCTGTTCATTGCTGATACTTAGAATGTCCTGTTCTGTGAAATAACTACAGTTATGGAAGTCAACTATTTTGATAATTCAGGTGTGAGGTGAGGTCAGGTGAAATTGGGTTTAACGTCGTGCTTGAGAATATTTCGCTCATATGACGACGTGATAATTCAGGTGTAAGGTTTAATAAGGGTCAAAGGGAAACGTCAGAATATCATCGATATTAAATGGTCCGAATATGCATGTATCTGTCAACGTGAGTCCTGATTTATCGTCTATAGAAATTTAGCGTTGTCGCCTTTACACAAAATGGAAGAGGCGTGACAATGATCCAAAGTGCGTCAGCCCACCACTTTGCCCAGGTGTCGCATTTCCCTCGAAAGGATTCGGCAACATCCGTTTACACCCCCATTCCACAGAGATTTCTGACTCATCGGTCACTCATCGGAACCAAAGTTTTTCTCTTCCGGTAACCCACCGAAGAGTATCGTATCACAGTCCGAGGAATCCGATTTGTGTTTGTCGACTATCAGGTGAGTGTCCGACGTGTTGGGCGTGATCCGATGAGGCGAAATCGTCCGATGAAGGAACTAAGCTCAGAGCTTAGTTCGCCATCGGACGCTATTTCCGGTTGTAAATCGAGCCAGTGTCGGATGAATGTCGAGTCAGTCCGATGTGTGTCAGATTCGTGTTGTGCAACTACCGGACGTGTCCAGCCGACGTCTTACGGCAATCTGATAAGTATCCGATGATAAACAGTCATCTGACGCTCATTTGATTGCAGTCTGCGGTCTGTCCGACGCGCCTGATAGTCGCCCATCACCAATGCGACACCCCCATTCCACTGACCATCGGAACCTCATCGGAAGCCCATCTGATCCCAATTTTGCTAAAATTTCAGCGTTCCGATCAGTTCCGATGAAAATTCACCCGACATCCTTTTTGGGGGGCCTTTTTCCCCTAAAACCGAAAGAGATCCAACATTGATCGGGTTAATCATATGAAAAACTGGTAGCGGCCTGATGTCCGTCCACCATAATCATCAACGGCGTCCGACTGATCCGACCGCAGTCGGATTGTAATTCGAGGGTGACCTGACACTAATCTGACACTTCCAACACTCTCCCGACACCAATCCAACAAATCGGTTACTATTCGAAGGGTAATCGGACACTGACCCAATACTGGTCGGATTTATCGCCAGAATCGGCAGTCGAGTATAAAAGCGGGCTGCACCTCCTGACGGTACTAGTCATGGATCAACTTCCTCGCAACGCTGCGGTCCTGGGCTTTGTTTTTTATACTGCAGCAACAAACTATAGAACAAGATGCAATGACCCTTGAGGTCTTGAGAAGAAAGCATAGAAGACCACGTCGTTGTTGGGTTCGACCGTGCCTGCAAGCTGATAGAAGGCTGTTATATGGACACTACACCAGGGTCATGAATGAACTGAGAATGGAGGATACAACGGTATTCTTCAATTTCCTGTAAGTTACGCTGAAGGGGTCGTTGTCGGCACAGGTACTTCAGATACGTACCCCAGGTACGTTTCTGTATACAGATATGTACCCTAAACAAAGTCAAAATACAGAAACGTACCTGGTACCCTAAAAGGCGGACGAGTCCATATTCCGCAATCCAAAACCAAAACCGCATGTAGTTGTTCCCGTTCAACTGATTGCGATTGGTATTCGTATGCATCGCGAAATATCCGTTACTGTGTATTCTCATTACTAACATAAAGCAATCAAATGTATCTAATACAACACTATGACAGTTCCAATCAAGAATACGAAACAATGGGAATGGAATCGTCCTAGGGTACCTTTCTGTATTCTCATTATGGCCAGGGTACGTTTCTGTATACAGAAACGTACCTGGGGTACATATCTGTAGTACCCGTGACGACAACGACCCCTTCAGCGTAAGTTACGCCAGAATCCTTTGATGAACTACTCCAGAGACTCGCACCAAGACTCACGAAGGGTCATACCAATGCCAGGAGAGCCTGTTATCCTGCACCCTAAGGTACCTTGCAGCTGGCGATCGGTATCCATCACTGTCATACAGCTTCGTAGTCCTAGGCCAAATGTTAGAAAAGTCCCTATCTTTTAGGATCTCTCAGCAGCAGTAAAGGCTTTATCCAGTAATTGGTATGACAACTCCCACCCTCCAGAGATTCTTGTCAATGTGGAACTAGACACAGAATGTATCAGGTTACTAAAACACACAAGGTTTACCCCACTGTTGAAACAGTGTCCACATGTTCATAGGCCAACTGTATGAGTATTAACTACATGGTTTAATGGACGGTGACAAGCACTGGTGTTCAACATGATCAGGATATGCAGTATGGGTGATAAGGCCTGGTGTATCATATTACCTGATAATGATGTTATCTCTACATTTCGCCTAGGAGTAATAAGCTGTAATGTTGCTGAGAGCGGCATAAAACTAAACTAAATCAATCAATCATTGTTAAGATAATGACAGACGCTGAAGTCAATTCTTGACGTAGCGGGTGGTCGTTTACCAAGACATTTAAATTTGGGCAATACTTAAAATACAATAAACTACCTAAAGTTGATATATCAGGAAAACTAAGCCTTCAACAACCACACATGATTCATACATAGTTCAATCGATACGTGAATCCCTCACAGTTATTCGGGGATGTCATTGTGCTATTCTGCCGAATGGGTACGAGTTAGTGAGTGAGTGTGAGAGTGAGTGAGTGAGTGTGAGAGTGAGCGTGAGAGTTTGTGATTGAGTGAGTGACAGTGACAGTGAGAGTGAGAGTGAGTGCGTCATTGTCCACCCAGCTAACAATTTCACGTTGTCACAACGTTATGCTTTCGTTGTCACAACGTTATTCTGTGGACTCCTGTTTACGTTGTTACAACATTATTCTGCGGACTCCTGTTTACGTTGTTACAACGTTAATCTGCGGACTCCTGTTTACGTTGTTACAACGTTATTCTGTGGACTCCTGTTTACGTTGTTACAACGTTATTCTGTGGACTCCTGTTTACGTTATTACAACGTTATTCTGTGGACTCCTGTTTACGTTGTTACGTTGTTACAACGTTATTCTGCGGACTCCTGTTTACGTTGTTACAACTTTATTCTGTGGACTCCTGTTTACGTTGTTACAACGTTATTCTGTGGACTCCTGTTTACGTTGTTACAACGTTATTCTGCGGACTCCTGTTTACGTTGTTACAACGTTATTCTGTTATTCTGGACTCCTGTTTACGTTGTCACAACTTTATTCTGTGGACTCCTGTTTTACTTTGTCACAACGTTATTCTGTGGACTCCTGTTTACGTTGTCACAACGCTGTGACCTGACGTTGTGATATGTCGTTTTTCGTTGCTATTAACCGTTAATAGTTGAATAGTTTTCCAGTAGTAAAACAGTACATACGAAACAAAGCAAAAATTCATTTCTATGTTTATTAGTCAATTCGCATGTTGTTTTGATCGTGTGTTTTCTGACGCTGTAGCTGAATAGTGAAGAAAGA